AAAACATTTGTTGGTTGACTTTTACCAAAACCTAACTAAAAGAAGAAAAAAACCAGTTATTCTTTTGTATTGATTGTTTAAGTAAAATATCAAAATTTCTATTTGAATATGTTTTAACTTAAGTGCAGACATTGAATTTTATCATTGAACAATTCATTAATAAAAAAAAAATTTATTCTACATGTAATCAGTCGTCATCAACTAATTCCCGCTTCCTCCAGGTTACATATTACAACGTCTTTTATTATGAAAATCTCAATATGAACTCATGTCAAGATTCAAGCCGTGTAAAATATTTCCGTTAAGACTAATTGATTTTTTCTATTAGAGAAAAGACTTCATTCTACTAATCTATATATCTAATGACATTAAATACAAGGTTCAGATTAGAAAAGAATCTAAGAAAATTTAAATAATAAAAGCTTGTAAGATTTTCTACAAGAACATTATGGCATTGATCTCAAGGTTAAACTCCGGATGGACACTCAACTTCCGATATCTTTCTTGAATAGCTATTTAATTTCGAGAATGAGACGTGAATGTTTCCTGCGTTTGTCTTGTTAGAGATCATTTACTTAAAGAGATGTTTCCGTTTCCCGTACAAAAGAGATCAAATATCAACAAATTTTAACAAAAAGATTATTCAGCTTATTAAATATATATAGCACTACCCTTAGGTGAAATGATTTAATTTGTTTTTTTTTAAGTACCTTAATCGAATGATCACGAATAAATTTTGATTTCATTGCTTTAATTACACTTTTTATATCAACATATTGAATAAAAGCAAATGTTTGTAGATAGTGAGATTGTTGCTGTTGTCGTTTTATTTCAATTTCCTAGAAAAAAAAACCAATAAATAAATTTTCATAAACAACATCAAATTTTTATTTATATACTTACAATAATATCTCCATATGTTGAATATATTTCACGTAATTCATTAGAAGATATTTCAGGTTGAAGATTTCCAATATATAATGTTCTTGTTGCTTTTACTGAATATTCATCTGTATCAAGATCTGAACATATTGAACGTTTCATCATTAAATCATTTTCTAAATATTATAAATTTCGAAAAAGAAAAATCTTGTTTATTGTTCGATATTTACTATGTATTAAATCATTATATGGTTTAGCTTTTAATTTAATACCATGAATAGATTTTGTTATTATAAATAATAATGCTTTATTAACATCTTCGAATTTTTTAAATGTTAATAAAGCATAATCATCGATTATTTTTATATTTAATAAATGAGAAGATTTCTTAAAATTAATAAATATATTTCGAAGTGTTTCACGTAATGATTCAACTAAAATAAATTTAAAAAAAAATCAAATAACATTTAAAAATCAATTAAATATACTTGATATTTTCGATGGTAATGGATAAATTTTTAATATTCTCGTTTTTAAATGATTTAAATTTGTTGATTTTTGTTTTAATTTCAATGTATATTGACGACGATATTTATAGAATAAACTGAAAAAAAAAAAAGAAATTGATATATTTTTTCTCTTTATATTCGAATAGGTGCTTTAGTCTATACCTATCGTTATGTGATCTTTCAGATTCAGATGATGAAGAAGAAGAAGAAGAATTTTCATGTTTGTCTCGTGAAGATTTCATTATTGTTTTTCTAATAAATAATATTAATTTAATAAAATAAAAACATTCCTTTTCTTTTCTATTACTTAGAACTATTTATTGATGATGTCCTTGGTTTACTTCTTGATAAATCTGACTCATACTTGACACGTACAATCTGATGTCTATGAAATAAAAGCAGAATAATTATAAAGAGATTTTTTTCAAATATAAATAAGTAAATGAATTCATTTATATATACAAATTCAATTTCAAGATAAATAGTAGATTACTAACGAGGGACAGGTCTGCAAGTATGACGCACGGATTAAGTCGATATTTTGTTCACAAATGAGTCTCAATAAACGTAGAAGAAGTCTAAAAGAGTTCGTTTCGATATGCTATTCTTCTCGAATTACGACCGTTTTCTTGTCTATGGTCATTAGAATGTCTTGAAAATTTCAGATCAAAAGAATATTTTCGTCCTGAGATATTACATGATGGAGACACTCGATATCCTGAGCTTTTCTTGTGACACATATCGTCTTTTGGATATCCCATATATCGAGAAGGAAAGATTCTTTTGGGTTAAAATTTTCAGGACATTCTAATGTTTATAGCATCTGTCTATGAACAACACTTTAGGTCAAAATTTCATAATTGGATTTTGTGATATATGCTTTTCTAGAGGCAGAAAATATATGAAAACGGTTGTAACTCGAGAAGGATATCGTATGGAGACGAATCCTTTTAAACTTTTTCTAATTTCTCTAAGACTCACTTGTGGGCAAAATATCAACTTAATTGGCGCGTCACAGATAGAGCTCTTTCTTTGTAAGTTCAATCAAGTATTATTATATAGAACAGACAGATTGAAGAACAAAAGAACTCATTACATTGACATATTCCATAGGCTGTTTAGACATCTGTTGTTGTTAAATATTCCAGAAGAGAAGGTAAAGAATGACATAGATCATGTTTCGAAAATACCGAGTTCTCAAAACAGAAAAAGAAAAAGAAATAATGAGATGTTTATTGAATGTTATTTGTTTGAAGTGATATATTAAAGACATTTATTTTTAAAAATGAAATGTTAAATTGAATAATATTTCCATTATATTTCAAAGACAATCAAAAACTTGTATGTCATGTTTTTCTCTAACCAAAATTTTATCAAATTAGAAATACAATAAACAAATCTTCTTTTCTGTTGTCTTAAGTTTCTCGAAATCTCTGATATGAGATTTAAAAATTATTAAATTGGGTAAAAATAGCCTATGAATATAAATCTTTTTTTTTTTGCTAGGTATTAGATGTATGAGAAATATGAGTTGATTATCTACAGTATAGGATTATATACCCTTATCAGAAATAATGAGTAGTTCAGTATTTTCCATAAAGAAGATAATGTTCTTATTTTTCTAAATTTATTTTTTCGAAACTCATACTTTGCTTTTAAGTCGATAATAATCCCTTCGAAATATACTATATAAAAGTTGAACAAATAAGTCAATCCTTTTTTTAAAACATGATATTGTTTAAGCTTATCTTCAATAACAATGCATAACTGACGTTAAAAATGAATCAAAAAATAACCACCAACCGATTATTAGCAGTATGTAATGAATATATATCTCGATCATCATGTATTGCTGTTATTGTTTTATCCATAAATGTATTAGTCTCTGTTGTTATACTGCAAGGGGATGATGATGGCTCAATAATTGAAGAAGATACTTCTAGAAGTACTTTAGGCACGGAATTTAAACTATCATGAAATGTTGTTTGTAATTGTTTCTTATCGAGAATATTTTCTGCACGATGTGCTTTTAATGCTGTACGTAGATCCAAAAAAGCAACAAGGGCAAAACGTTGATCATTAATTTTAACCGTTTGAACATGACCATGTCTAAATATATAATAATAAATGAATTTTTTCAAATTTATTTATTTATTTTTCTACCGTTCAAAACATTCTTTAATAGTTTCTTCAGTAGCTGTGTCAGGCAAATTAGATATAATCAACCATCTTGATTCAGTTGATTTCGATGTTAATAATACTTTGTCAGTAGAAATTTCACTAGACATAGATAAGATCTGATTTAATATGTAATAATAAAAAAATCTGCACAAATTGAAATAGATAAATCAGATATCGATAATAGAAAAAAAAATATCTTTCGAAATTTTTTTTTTATTTCAAAATAATAGTAATATTTGTCACCCTTATAAAAAAAAGAAATGATGACTCTGTTGAACATTATTGCTATTCTTAGTATCGACATTGAAAAGAGAAACAAATAAGAGAAAGAAAAAGGAGAAAAATACCGAGCCACCTTACATTATATTTTCTCTGTTTTCTAGTTATTTTTTGCTTCTCGTCTTATTTTTGCTTGCGTCTTGTATGATAGAGAGTAGGTAGCAGGCTTCTAACTATCGTCGTTAATGGTTGTATAGTTCGAGACAACGATCCATAATATAATGTTGGAGAATTGATGATGATCATTGTGTTTTTGCAGAAGACAAAACATATATGACAGTCTTTTATATATATATATATATAGTTAAACGCACAATGACACATCAGATTGTGCTGATGATAGTCAATATAGCTATTATTTTTGTGTATCAGATCTTTTGCGATGTTGGAAACTAGCATTTAGTCCTTAGTAATCTTTCTGTGTATGACATTATTATCTAATCGTGATGAAGAAGCACATGAGATGAGAATTGAAGATGAATGCGTTGCCAGTTCTTCCGCCATTTAGATTCCATTACTTTGACGGTTTTCAGAATCATGAATTTTGACGGCATTGTCGAATAGTATTAAAATAATGAAAAAACAAATGCTTCATCTTAGTGGTTTAAATAGTGATGATGTTTAGCTCGTATTTTGTTAGTTTTTAGCATGAGTCTTCTTTTTATCGTATCAAATAAAAACAAAAGTCCTAAGAGAACATTGATGGAAAGTAAATCTGTTCGACGCAGAAGCGGAAAATTGATTATATTCTTTTTTTTTCTATTTTTACGTTGATTATAGAATAAAAGCATAAAATACAGAATAGAATCTCATAATATAATGCCTGAAATGTTGACATTATTTTTCTCTTTCTTCATAGTTTAACCTTTGTCCTTGTGTGTATGTCTGAAAATTCACTATCCATGTTTTTTTTTTCTTTATATTTGCAGACAGAAAGAATAAAAATATCTAGGGTTGCCTAAAAGTAATTAAAGACATTGATGAGATTCTTTTTTGTTTATAATAGAAATAAAAGAAACAATAGCAAAAAAAAAAAGCAAAAATGAAAGAAAGTACAATTAGTAATAAATTAATCAAACATGTCTCGCTTTTATTATTTCTTCTTTTGCAAGAAAAATTCTATCACATAGATAACAAGAAAAGAATGTATCACCACATATTTAAATACGAACTCCAAGAAGAAGAAGAACTTGAATTAGTACTATTAGTGACTTGTGATGTATTAGATTCATTATTTGTTGATGTATCTACAATGGATGTTGTTTGTTGTGCGACACGGACAAGTTGAGCTTGTTCATCAGGACTTAATTTAAGCATTGTAACAAGAACAGGTATTGTTTGTAAACGTTCATGTGTAGATTTTAATATAAAAAATTTTAAAATAATATTTTTTAAATATTCTAAATTTGATATTGATTCAGCACGATCCATATTACGTTCAATACGTCGTATTTCATCTTTAAGTAATGATACTTGTTCACTTAAACGTACATTATTTAATTCAGATTCATTAAGAAGTTCATTTGTATTATGTAAACGATATTTTGTTTTATTAAGTTCTTCTTCAATACGTTGACGTTCTAATTCAACATCTTCGAAAAGTATATGACGAGGTTTATCCAGATTTGATGATGATAATTGATTAGTGTTAGTATTGCCGAATAGAACATTTTCTAAAGTTTTAACAGCAACATCGGCTGGTTGATAATCAACACTAGCTGATTCAGATCCCTTTGAAAACAAAAGAAAACGAATTATTTTTCAGGTAAAATAAATACAAAAAGATTCAATTGCATAAAACTCGCAAATTAAACAATTTCTACGAAATACAACATTAGTAATATCTGATAGTCAACATCACAGGACCTGCCTTGAAGACAGGTTATTTTGTTCTACGCATGCAAGACCTGCAGGGTATTCAAGTTATCTAATTGATCATGGTCCAATGGAGTTCTAGTTTAGTAGTGAAACTCGTGATGATTTTCCATTATTATCAATAGTAGACAGAAGAGTGCATGGCATACCAGCAATTAGTACTTCGACGAAAAGATTATTTAACTCAGTTAGATTGACATTTACTCAAAGACGAATACATTTATTACCAAGTCAAATTGATAACATATTATTTTCTCATTCATACGAAAAATTCAAGAACAAACAATAAAAAGAAAAGTTATTCATATCAATTTTTTTGTAAATGATTTTTATGTAAATAGTACTTCGATGATATTTGACATCGTACTTTATATTCATACAAGTTTTTATCCTTGTAAAGAATGCAATGAAAAGATCATTTTGCAAGTAGGACGCAGGAGGGTTCTCTGTTCCGTAAAATGTGTCCTGCAAAATGCAGGGTATGACGTAAAAAAAGATTTCCTGTGACGTTCTCTGATGCCTGTTGGAATTTATATTTCTTTGTGCATTTGAATTTTAATCTGCAATTCTGGATTTGATTATGCATACAACTATGACAGATACCGTCTGACGTCATACAAACTTTGCATATTTTTTATTGCGTAGAAAATTAAGAAATTGTTTTATAAAGAAGACTCGTAGATTTTCAGCACATGATCTGATGATTTATGTTAGAAGAAATAAATGGATACTTAACAATCTTATGAATTCTAAAAGTTTTCTTTTAAATACTATCTTTCTTCGTATTTAAAAAAAATAAATTAGTCATAAGAAGGCAGTGAAATCGAAATAGATGCAATTCAATTCTAATAACTCAAGTTATTTTACTCTTTAGTGGATGACTGTGTAATAAGTATCTTATACAAGTGTTAAATGTCTGAAATAAACTTGCTGCTTTAACGGAACTGTTCATGGTTTAATTACTCTAATCTCATTGAAGTCGAACTTTTGTTCATCATTTCTAACTTGTGATGCAAAAATAACTGCCAAAATCTTGATCCATCATTCTCCACTCAGAAACATTTTAGAGAGTTAGTTCATTTTCTAGTTAAAAGAGAAAAGACTGAACTTCAAAAAACATAGGGAACAAAGTTTTTTTCAGATTAACTTTGAATGAGAAAAAAGTTAGATACCAAACGTCATCAAAAAAAACACTCTTGCAACTTCTGTTCTTTTCCAACATATCACTCGCATCAAACATTTCTTTTCCTTATTATATGTTATGTTTGAAATCATATAGTTATATAAAGTAGAAGCGTTTTTATCACTCTTTTAGGCGGAGTATGATAAATTATGTTTTAATCCATATGACCATCGAAATTTTACAAGATTTTGATTAATTTCAAAAAATTGGTCATTTAACTTAAGCAATAGTTTCTAGATACTAAACAAATTTTCCACCATTTTTTATAAAAGATGCTTTCTGAAACAGCATGCAATTTTCTACAAATTCAAATTAATATACAATACAAGTCTTTGTAAAAATGTCAAACTGTGTTATATCATATTGTCGACGTTTGAATTAAGAATTTTTTTTCATTAGAAAGAACAATGTCTGAACTACAAATTTTGTACAAGACATTTTTCCAGAACGAACTTGATGAGGAGGAAAAATACAAAACTAAACATCTCCAAAAAGGTTCTTGAAACTTCACTATCGAGCAACAGCATTTTCTATTTTCTGTTAACCTTCACTAAAATATTTAAGCTCAGAATAATGAATTTTTCTCAATGTTTCCATACAATGTAGTGCTTTCTACCAAAACGAAGTCGTATAATACGCGTAATTTCCTACTAAAGAGTTGTTAAGAAACTTTCTAAAATATGGAATTCGATAAAATTTTGTAAGAATTACTTTCTTATCTATTTAGTTTTCAAGAAAAAGTTCTTCTTCCGTCTCGACAAAAAACTATATGCTGCAAGAGAATTTCTTCACGATGTTTGATATATCGAACTTTTTTCGCACTCAAAATTAACTGTCAAAAAGTTTTTTTCTTTTAATATATTTTTTGAAGTTCAGACTTCGTTCGTTCAAATGAAAGAAGAATAAAATTTCTACGATATGCCTAAGTGGAGAACTATCAGTCGAGATTTCGACAATTAGTTTTACATCGTAGGTTATGAGGATAGACAATTTGATAGAAAATAGTTTAATTACTTCTCCTTGTTGACGTTCTGAATAAGTCCATGGAATATCATCTTTAGTAATATCATTATTAAATACCATCTGAGTAGATTCTTTTTCATTGTCAACATTTGTTGTTTGTCGTAATAATTCAATACGATTTTTTAATTGTTCAATTTCTTGTTTTGATGCTTGTAATTGATTTTGTAAAATTGATATTGAACGTTCATGATCAGTTTCAATTGCAGCTATTTGTTCCTTGAATAAAAAGTGAAATTATTTATAGTTTAGAAAATAAATTAGATATTACTTTAAATGTTGTTGAAAGTGTTTCATTTTGAAGTGTTACACTTTTCATCATATCATGACTATCATTCGTTCGTTTTAAACAATCATTTTCTATTTTCTCAAGTTCCATTTGATGCTTTAAAAAATATAAAACAAAAAAAAACAATAAAACTTTATGATTAGTTAAAGAAAGATTTGTTTTAAACTTGTTTTCGAAGATCTTGTTCACGTTTTCTTGATTCATTAATTATTTTCGTTTGTACTTCGTTCAGACGATCTTGTTCTTTCTGTAATATTTCATTTTCAGATATTAATGATTGAATTTTATTACTAAATATATTCGTTGAGAGTATAATAAAAGAACAAAAAAAGAAATTTTCTATACTTTGCTTCCTTAAGAGTTGTTTTTAATTTTTCAATTGTTTCTTCCAATTCAGTTTGTTTATTAACTATTGATGGCATACGTTCACGTTGAGTAGATTGTTGTTGTTGTTGTTGTTTAAGAACACTTTGTGCTCGAATCTAGATTAATAAGCAAGAAAAAAAAAGGAACATCAGGAAATCACAAAAAAGAAAATAATATTGTATTATTTTACAAAACTTCTCAACAAATACTAAACAATACTTTAGAAATGCAAATAAAAAAAACCGAACAATTATTAACCCTTATGTCACTTCTGCGGATATATGATGAAACAAAATAGTAGTTAATCTTTTCGTTCTAGAATATGCATATCTTTCTATTTTAGTATGATAGTTATTAGTTAACTAATTTTCATTAACAGAATACAATAATGATAGTAAATGTTCTAACAATATATTTTTTAATGTTAAGTCAAAATTCAATCTGTCACTGACAGCAATATCACAGATCCATGAAATGTCTCATAAATAAATACAAATCTCTATGTAAATGAGAAAAAGATTGATATGCATTATTAACAATCAAATTTCGCTTTATTTTTTTTTTAGAAAAAAACAAAGAACTAAAGAGGAATTGAAATTGATACTATTCATATTAGCAAAAAAAATACATTCTTTCCACTGAATTTTATTTTGGATCTGTACCAACTCTCGTCATTATTTTCCGATAATAATTTTAGATATCAGTAAAAAAGAACAAAGACGAATATTTCTAAAATAAAAACCGATTCGATTAATTGATTATCATTGTTCAATCAAATATGCATTAATTATAAACATCCATATCATATGTCAGTCAATAGAATCGACTAAAGCTAGACACATATCCGACATACAAGATCTTAAGTAAGATATGTTTGTTTGCATCTTATACTTACTTTATAATTATTAAAATCATCTTGAAGTGTTTCACTTAAAAATAAACAAACATTACAAAAATGTTTTTATAAAAGAAAACAACAACTAACTAATCCTGTTTAGCTACATCCAAATCATGGTTTGCAATACGTAAATTTTGTTCAAGTAAATTAATTGTTCTCTGATTGGTTTCACTTTGTTTATTTAATTGTTCTAAAAATAAACAAAACCTATAAATTTAATAAAAATTAATTAAAATACTTTACCAATTAATTGTTGTTTTTCGGAAAGTAATTGACTAATAGTTACTTTATTATTATCTAATTCAATTTGTAATTTATCAAATAATGTTCGTAGATTATCATCATTTTGATATCTTTGTTGTTCAAGATCTTTAGCATCATGTAATTCTTTTTTAGTTGTATCTAATAATGTTTTAAATTTATTAGCACGTTCTTCAGTTTGTAATTTTTGTTGTTCTAAATTTTCAGTTTCTTGTTTAAGAGAAAGATGTTTTTCATTAAGATTTGTTAAATCATCACGCAAATCTTGAATTTCTTTATCTTTATATGTTAAATTATCTTTTAATGTTTTAATTGTTTTTTCATAATCAGCTAATTCAAGATCAATTAAACTTTGTTTTGGTTGTTGAGTTTTTTCTTGTAATTCTCTTTTAAGACGTGATAATAAAAGTTTCATTTTTTGTTGTTTTTCTTGAAGATCCTATAAAAAAAAGAAATTAG